CTTTAGTGAAAAACGAACGTTATTCTTTGTCGTAACTAGAAAATGTTTTAATTTTATTTTTTGCCTGTTAAATATTACAATTTCGAAAAGTATCTAGATAGTATAAATTCAATTGAATAAATTAACCAAAGTTATCCATATCGATATAGTTTTATAAGTGTAGAAATGCTGGTAAATATCTATATCAAAGGTTGACCAATGTAAGACAAAAACGGTAAATAAATAAACATTTACGAACTTACGTATTACACAATTTGAATCAGATTGATATATTTGGGAACTAATATGCTAAGTACTTTGCCCCATTTGAAAACCTCCAGTTTTATCTTGCCAGCGCTCATTAAACATTTGAATTTAACTTTAAAATAGAATTTATAGGAAATACGCTAAAAAACTTTTCTAAATATTCTATATTTTGTGCATTCGTGAGTTACAGTACTTATTGTGTTTGCCTAGATGCATATCAAGTGCATATTTTGTATTTTCTCACAACTTCTTAGATTCTTCAATAGATACATGTATATCTAATGTCTTTGAGATTTCATATTTGCCATATTAACCTTACGAATGTTTTGTTTGCCAAACTCATGTGATAAATAATAGCACAAGAATTGAATACTAATTATATCATGAGAAATTTTGTGATTTAATGTGATCAAAGCAAATCACAAAAGAGTTTATTTTCCTCGGAAATAGAAATATACAAGAATAAAGAACTGAGCCGCCCTAACCAACCAGTGTTGGAAATCATATGTTCACGGCGTTCGCAATGAACATAAATTTTTAAGAAAAATCTCAATTTTTTTATTTTATGTTCACATTGTGAACATAAATAATTGTCGCGGCTGAAGCTGGAAATTAAGGCCTCGATTTAAAAGTATAAACCCTACCAAAATCCACTTATACTCATTTATTATAAAAATTAATTTAAGCCTAACCTAACTATTTAAAAAAAAATATAAAAAAATGCACCCAAAAGTTTTTGAAAATTTCATATTAATAAATTTTTATTTATGATCCTTTTTTTTTTTAATGTGAATATGAAAAAAAAAAGTATGTTCACAAAAATTGCCATATTGTAATTTGAATTTCCAACATTGGCCCTAACCTGATTATGGTGAAATCTAATAATCTATTGACAAAAAAACTTACGTAATGATTATCACGGATAGAAAACCGAAATATATTTAGAAATATATAATACAGTCGACTCACCGCAAGTGTATCCTGTATTACAAGTGCACTTAACGTGTACTTTCCCAATTATTATAACATTACACGCAGTTGAGACGATTATTATCCATAAGTGCGACAATGTGCACTTATGGTGAGACAACTGTATTACATTTACTGCGTAATTATTAAAACTAAATAATGAAAAAAATGTCATCTTTTTCCAAAATTAAGCAACTATTTTTTAATTCATGATTTTTTTTTCTAAAATTAGTGTGATGTTTTAGTTTCGGAATAATTTTAATCTTAATTTTATTGTTAAAGTTTAAAATTTTCTCAAAACTATAGGTGCCTCATTTCGGAGTATTATACTGTGATTCCGAAGTATTGTATATCTCACAACATCTTGGTAACATCCCTAAGTCTATATTATGATTTCTCTTCTTATTCAAAATAATGACTGCATTCTGGACATTACTCAGATTTGGTTACTTAATTTAACACACAAGCATTCGATCTTAAGAGATGAAGAATTTAGGGCTGAAGCAGTTACATATCTAAAGCGTAGTTTTCTTTGCTTTGATAGTGTATAAATCAATCTTTGTATGATAGATTATTTCTGCAGCAGTTATACATACAACGGTTTTCCTGAATTCTTTTGTATGCTTAATCATATACATACACGGAATTTTCTCTTTATTCTAATTTTAGTATCTTTTCGTTACACAAAAACCAATTTTGCAATTGTTAACATGTACAAAAGTAAACAAATTAACAACTAATTAATGAATGAACAAAATAGGTAATTATACAAAAGATTTGTATAATACGTGTTATTAAAAATTGTATATCAAGCATATATTTATAAAAAAAAACATAACCTCGTGGTTGAAAATAAACCAATTGATAGACAACGATTAATTTTGAAACAACGTGGTTTCAAATACATTCTTAAAAAGGATTACGGTATGGTAATATACATTGTAAAAAAAATATTTCTATAAATCAACGCGATTTCTCTAGAAAGATCAAGCAAAAATTTCAAGCACAAAACATGGCATTGGTCACAAGAAGCACCGAAAACACCCAAATCAGTTGCGCAATTAAGGCAAGCAATGAACTTGTAAAAAATTTACACCGTGATGGATTAGATCGTGGATGTATAGCAACATTTAATAGTAGAATGATTGTGAGACAGGTAGATTTTTTTTTATTCCTTATAAAATTTATAATTTTATAATTTTTTATAACTTTTTTCTTCACTTTCTTTTTATCAGAACTTCACTAGAGATGAAGCATCACTTTACCGTTCTCTTAACGGGTTAAGGAACTACGTTAGTGGTTCCACTCGTCTCTATGATAGTATAGTCGACATCATAAAAACCTTTCATTCTAGTGGTGATCGTACTCGTCCCTGGATTTTGGTTGTTGTAACTGATGGTGATGACACTGGCAGTACTCTTAGTTTACTTAAGTGTGCTAGTGAAATATCCCGATTATTTACAAAAGATTCTAGTAATTTTTTGTTTGTTGTGGGTGTCGGTGACGATGTGAATTCAACCAAGATGGAACAGGTATTTTTATTTCTCAATTATTATTATATATATATTTAAATGAGGTTTCTAACAATAAACTTATGCTTTTTAAAAACACGAATAACTTTCAAAACGTTTAAAAATAAAATCAGATGGCAGATGCTGGCAACTTCATCTATTTTCCTGTTAAAGACTTTTTCCTTCTTGAACTCGTATTCCTGACTATCGCCCATAAAATCACTACCTCTCTATCTCTCTCTCTTGGCAGTCTTTCTGTCGGTAACTATAACGCTTCATGGGCTGAAGTTCAAAGACATAGAAATCTCTGCCAAGTCGCGATTGATTATGCATTCTAGATCGACGCATCTATTCAATGAATACTGTAATAAAATTACCAGCTTCTCAGCGTTTTACAGATTATAACTTGAACAAAAGTATCAAAAAGGAGATGGTGATATACAGTACAGTACGTGAAAAGGATGGTCTAATATCGGTATGCCTTTCATCTTTAAAAATAATGTTAAATCTATTTAACTTACTAATTTTATAAATTTTGAACGTACATAAAGTTGTAATTTGATGGGTGTTTAGGCTATTGTAAACATGATGAAGTTTGCGAACCTAAAAGTCGCTGCTAGAAACGTCATCCTCTTTGTTATGCATAAATTCCTGCAATGTGGACGTGTGATGAATGTAGAAAATTTCTTATAGTAGGCGTTTACAATGGATTATGAATTGTATTCAAAAATGGGTTGCAAATGAGGGTCTTGCTTATTTGAAGGCAAGTTTATTCATCACAAGATAAATCGATGGATAATCAATTTTACCTTTTTTTTTTTTACTTGATTACATATTGTGCATTTATCTAGGGATGACGAACTTAAAAATTATGTTTGTTTGATTTAAATCTGTTAAAAAATGTGTTAAAACATTATGACGTAATTATGATCCATTTGCGTAATTTAAATGTATAATATTTTGATTACTAAAATTCAAAAAAAAGAATAAAAAAATTCATCAAAACAAAGTCTCATGTTCGTCGTTAAAGAAATCCGTTAAGCTTTACAAAATTGATAAACATTATCAAACAACACCTCGCCAAAAATGTAATTATTGAGAATGTGAAATTACACTAATTGGCAATTTAGACGTATCCTAAAGTTCGTGTAACTTCCACTTGTGCATATAACAAAAAACGAGACGATTCTTGATATTTTTTATATCTTCTAGCGATAGCTTCTCGACAACTATCTGGATTAATATTAATAAACTTTTTTTTATATTAATTCTACAAGCATGTAAAATTAAATAAAATTTTGACCCGGTAGATATCAAGAAAACTTCAAAATCAAAAATAGCTACGATTATGATTTTTTGTGTTTAAATGAAAATATCTCGATACCTACTTGGTCAAATTCGATGGAAATTTTTTTATTTTAATTCTATTGCTATGTAGAATTAAAATAAAAAAAATCATCTAATGATTGAGAAATAATTACTTTAAGTAAAAAAAAAAAATACAGTTTTTTCTTTTACGAGATATTAAACTTTGAACGAAGATTTCTCAGCGACTACCTGATCAAATTCGATGGAAATTTTTTTATTTTAATTCTAAATTTTTGCAGAATTAAAATGAAGAAAATTTATCAAAGTTTGGCCATGTGTTGTCGAGAAGTAATTGATTATATTTTAAAAAAAATTGAACGTATATGCGTTACAGCAAACTTTAAATAAATATTTCTCA